TGGAAATTTTGAGTTTGTATAATCTATATCGTATAAAAAATGTTGTAAGAACTTGAGTTCTTCGTAGCTTATGTTTAGTTTGAATTTGTAAATTTTAGTACCATAAGGTAAAATGTGAGCTATGTAGGATTAAGAATCATAATTTTAATTTATGTTAACAATATATGTTCGAACCTACGACTTTTGGACATGACATATATGACACAAGTATATATTTTTTTTCATTTTTCAATTCAATAATATGTAGGATGAAAATTTAAATTCTTCTAACCCATAATATATGCTTCAACAAATTAAAATTATGTTTAAGTTGGATATCTTGAAGTACTGTTTAGGTAACTTATGAGTTAACAAACTACTAATTTAGAGGTTCTAGATAACAATTTTTTTTTTCAGTTTTTTACAAATTTCTTATCGTGTTATTCATCTTTTTTTTTTAATATATTTGAAATTTTAGTCCAATATTTTTTTAAAAATCAAGTTAAAGGTAAAATTAGTGTTTATAAACTTAATTTTAAAAACTTGAGAATAAAAAATAAAATATTTATTAAATGGCCCTGAGATATAAATTGATATATATGTGAAATATAAAAATTTAACTTAATCCATGGGTTTATGAGTCATTTTGTCAGACAAAAATTTGTGAAGCAAAGTGGGGTTGCATGGAGCTTCCAAACAAATTTCTACTGTCAAATCAAANAATTGAATTTAGAAGTGAGAATAAATAAATGCCATCTATTATATTGAATCTTAATTTTACTAGTATAATTTCCATGTGTTATAAATTAATAGTCAACGGAAAAAAAAAGAAGTAAATAATTTGCTTTTTTTTTCTCTCAGAATTTTGATAGGTTCAAAAATGCATGCCTAGTAAAAGAAAAATATTATATTTCTTGTTAATATATTTGTCAACTTGACATATATATTAGTCTAATAGTAGAGATGTTCAATAAATTTTAATTTAATAATAAGAACAATAGTTTGACAAACTAAAGTTAAAAGCGTAAGAGTAACAAAAATATGTGTATTTTAACAGTTGTTTTAGTATAATACGTGAGAGTGGAGATTCAAACTCACGATCTTTTATTTGGAGATAAATGTATTAATTAATTGAGTTATACTGGTATTGGCGTATTTCAACCATTTTTTAATTGTATTTGAAAGTGCTTTTGTATATATATATATATGTATGCATGTATAATTCATTAAAAAAAACTATGGTTTGATAATATATTTTGACAATTGTACTACTTGTATAAGAGTTGACTAAGATGACGTAATGAATTAGAATTTCTCTATCTCTCCGTGAAGAAGATTATAAATGTGATAACAATATGATCCATTGAAATGGGAAAAAATGAAGGAAAAAGAGAAATTATGAAATCCTCAACTTTAATTTGGTATATGAAAAGAACTGTGGAAGATCTGGATAGATTTTGGGTTGAAAACAGATCTTTTACTTTTAAAATATTTGATCATAGAAATTTTGATATATATATATGGAGACAGCCAAAGTTTTTCAAAAAGAATATGTTTGCAGAGTCACAACCACAAATAACCCAAGTGGTTGAACCACTTCATCAAAAAATTCAGAATGGCCATACATTGGAACTATACATTATATTTCATATGCATCCAATAATATTTGAATCAAATCTACTTCCCTATTATGCAAGTTTTTTTCTTTATTTGAATTGCTAGTAATTATTTCTATTTTTGTAAAAAGAAAAAGTTATATATGTTTGATAACTGTAAATTACTTTTTGATTTTTAATTTTTTTAAAAACGTTACGGGGTTGAAGAGATATGCGGAAGAGAAAAAAATTATGTAAAGTAGAGATAACAATGGGGTAGGGTGAGATTTGGAGTGCCCTCTTCATCGTCATCCTCACTGAAATTGTTAGTCCTCATCGTCAATCCCAGAAATTGAGGTCTAAATCGAGAAATCTTTATTTGGGGACAAAGATTTTTACAGGGAAAATTATCCCAAATTAATTTTAGTTAGTTTTAAAATTTTTTTAAAAAATAAGTGTAATGTAAATTATGTCTAGTTTACTAAAAATTTATTATTTGCTAATATAAATAATTAGTTTTAACAAATATTTAATATTTTATTCCTAATTTAGTAAAATAGTTAATAACATGTATGTTAATTATTTGAGAAATAGAATTGGGGTTGGGGTTGGGGTTGGGATAATGGAGGGAAATGCATTCCCTGTTCTTGGAGCGATGACTAGTCGTGTAGAGATTTTTTTGTTATCCCTAATGTAAATATATAGAAATAAAAGTTGAGACTTTTTAAAGAGAAATCTTATAGAGAGAAAATAAAATTTTAGTGGGAGAAACGATCAAACAAAAAGAAAAATAGGAAAAGAAAGAAAGATTATAATGAGAAAAAAATTTAGAATAGAAAAAAAAGTTCGAGATGTATCTGTGAGAGAAAAATAAATAAAAGAGAAAGAAAAATTATAGTGAAAGAAAATTGAAACAAAAAAATATTAGATAGAAAAAACTTTGACATATATTTGTTTGAGAAAAATATATTAGAAAAAGAAAAGAGTTATAAAACCAGAAATTTGAGAGATAAAAAAGTTGGAAAATATTAAATTTGTAGAGGGAGAAAAATAAGAATGATATGTTAGGAAAAAAATAAAATAATAAAGATAGATATTCATGAAAATTTTGAAGAAAAATATAATAGTAAATATTATTGAAATGAAAATTTTCAAGAGAGATAAATTTTTTAGATAGAAAATTCTGGTAAGAAAAAGATTTAGGGTGAGAATGAAATTTGTTGGAGAGAAATATGTAAAAAAAAAAAACAAAAAAACAAAAAAACAAAAGAAAAAATAGATTTTAAAAACATAAATCTATTTTTAAAAACTACTTTTTTTTAATTTACATAAAATTTTTAAAATGCTTTTAAAAAACAAAAACTGAAAATTGAATTTGTTATTTAAAAATAGAAAATAAAATAATTATCAAACCCCCCTTTAATTTTTTGTATTCTTTTTTTACTTTCTTAATTTTGAATTATGAATTTAATTTTAAAATTTCTTTTTATTTGAAACGAGATTAAAAGAGTTGAGAAAAATGCATGTGACATGTACTATGGATGACTCGAATTTTCTAAAGTTCATTGGAGTAATGTTTGAAGTGATGAAACTTTTAAGTATGATTTTCATAGTATCAATGAATTGTGGTGGGTTGACTTTTAAGCCACATTTTAATAAAAAAAGAAATCTTTGAATTACAATTTTGTTGAATTAAAATAAGGTGTTCATCTTGGTTGTGTTTGATTGAGTTGTGTCAAAAAAGAAATTTTTTAGATCCGACTCAAATATTTAGTTTTCGTTTGGTAATGTTCCAGTTTCTTGTTTCTATTTCTTTATTTTTAATGAAGAAAAATGTATTGCATGATTCCAACTCTCAAGAATTGAAGTATGATAAAACAATCTTTTTATTTATGTTTTGGAACAAATTGAAAATGAGAACAAGAAGTGAGAAACTTGTTTTGGTTGTTCCCAAAATTTCTATATAATTGTGAGAATATTCTCAAAAAAGGAAAAACAAGAAATAAAGTTAGTTGTAAAATAGTTAGATTTCTTAATAAAATTGGAACGTTACCGAACGGATCCTTAATGTGCAATTTTTATAGACCTTAATCATACTATGTAATGTCTTAGTTGATTTAGTTCGAAATTTTTTTAAACTATTTTATCTTTAAATTGTGTAAAAATGAAAATTTGAAATATGGTATTTTAAGGACCTATCTTCAAACTATACTTTATGAAAAATAATATGCTTAGGAACTGATCTAACTACTTTCTAAAACAGGTTGGAGAATTATAAAATAAACAATTTAAAAGTAATTAAATGATGGATGTGTAATGTACTTAAAAAAAAGTGTAATAATAAATAAGAAAAAAGTAATTTTTTATCTAATAAATTCAAGTTAATTTTGGTTCGACTTCTTAAATCATCAAAACATATATGGCCCAAATACCGACCCAAACCTAACCCAAAAATCAAAATTTTGACAGAGGCCCAACCCAATTTGGACTTTGGGTTGGGCCAACTTGTTTGAATTACTTTGAACTGATCCAATAAGCCGATTCAACGAGAAGGGTAGCCTATTCGGAAAAGCCTACAAAACTTGATCCATGATCCAATCTAGATACCCTAAATAATCCATGATCTAATCCCAAATTATTATTTCTAATAATTTTATAAAGTATTTTAGTTAAAAAAAACACATTCGGTTCATTTAATTTAGTTAAAGTAATGTTTTAGTCTTTGAACTTTATTTTGTAATGATTTAGTCTCTATACTTTTAAATTGGTGACAATTTAGTCTATTAACTTTGGTATGTAACAATTTCTCAAAAAAAAAAAAAAACTTTAGTATGTAACAATTTGATTCAGTCCCTATAGTATAATTTAGTCTTTATTGTGAAATTTCTTTGATAAATTTTTTATATACGTAGATGAGGGACTAAATATGTTTATATTTTACAAAGACTAAATTATCACGTGACAAAAAATAAAAATCAAACACTTATTTTTAATGAGATTTTTAATAATGACTAAATTATTACAAATTTTATTTAATCAAATATTTTTGGAAAATCAAGCTTGTAAAGGTTATTTATATCTTGTATAATTGTATTTAGTTTTTAAAATTGCAAAATACTTGCATTTTAACCAAAATTTTAAAATTAAAAGAGATCTTTCAAGCCGTTTTTCCTTTTAATGAATTTTAAGGTGAAATTAACTAGAGTAACTTTTTTTTATATGAAAACTAACTAGAGTAACTTTCTAGAGTCAGAAGTTCAAATCTCCATATTCTCGTTGTATATTAAGAAAATAATAAATAAACTAGGGTTCAAGAACATTTTAAAAAATAGATTATTGAATAAATAAAATGTTTATAAATAATAATGATTTTAAAACAGAAAACTTTAAAATAAAACCATCGAGTTTAACCTCACTAGATGTAAGAAATGAAAGTTCAAATTATGAAAGGACTCTTCAATAGCTTGTGTCTGGTTCTTGAACTCATACCCTCCAACTTGCACCCAAATTAAGTTTGGATTTATTGGGCCATAAACAAAACAAAAAGAAAAAAAGATGTCTGTTTTCAAAGCATCCGCAAGTTTAATTAATAATATTAGTACTTGCTTCAACTTCTTGATATTGCAAGCCAAATAACATAATTTCCAAATGCTTCTTCCCTGCATTCCCTTTCCTTTTTCTTTATCCACCAAATCATACACGAAAGAACGACGAAGGTCGATCAGCAAACCTGTTACTTGCAATGCTCGTCCAGCCACGAGATTATGTCGTCAAATACTTGGGTTATCATTTCATCTGGCTCACCCTCCAGAAGAGCATGGTATGCACCTTCATAAAGCTTAAGCTTCTTATCTGTACTGCTAGCTTTCTCATATAATGCCTTGCTCACAGTCACATCGGTTACGATATCAGCCTCCCCATGCAGGATCAATATTGGCAGGGAAACCTAGAGGGCATGTCAGTAAAATGATAGTTCTTCAAGTTTTGTTTCCTATATTTTTCCTTGAATCAACTTGAATTTGGAATAACAGCCATAATATGTATCTTTAAAAGAAGTATAGTAGTAACTGCAAATGAGAAACTGCATTACAATGACCACGAAGTAACAAAAATAGTGTCAAACAAAGGATCAAAAGTAATGTACAATGACCACGAAGTTAAAACTCTCCAACTAGTCACCAAAACAAAAACGAGTAATTATAAAATTACTTCGAGTCGAAGGCCCAAGAGAAGAGACCGAAAGAAGAATGACATCTTGCCAAAATTAGACGAAAGAAGAATGACATTCTGCCAAAATTGTGACCAGAAGATCACTCGCAGTTCAGAGATCAAGGTTTTCAAATGAAGACTGGTTTGAGTTGGACAACCCTGAATGCCTATATAAAACCTTTTTATTGCTTTCCAGTACTGCTAAGATATCTAATAGAAGATCCTCTCTATACATAAAAACTAAGTGTTGTTGACAAGGAATGCTGCTCTATTGGTATACTAAACTTACATAAACCGCTCAAGTAAATCTGTCATTTAACGACTGGATGACAATATGACATCCTTTTTGCCCCTTTAACTAACTACTAGATAATGCCAAAATGTTTCAGCATCTGTTAGTGAACATATACATGAGCCAGAAAATAAATAAGTGGATTTCGAAAGGTTTAAGAAATGGGGTATTGTTCTTCCAAGCCAAGAAAGAATCCAAAACTCTAATTTTATATCTAGAACTATGCTAAAAAAGTCACGACAGGAAGAATCAAATCGAGCAGATATCTTTAAGAAGTGATGAATATCATACCTTGTCCAAACATGACTTGTCTAATCCTACTATCCCTTCCACAGGTTAAAGATAGTACCTATCACCCTCACGGTCCCTCCATGTTTTTCAATCCTCTCTATTCCTCCTATTCTCCCTCTTCTCGCTCTCAAATCTTCAAGAGAGAGAAGAAAGTTCTGTGGGTCCAATTTATTAAGGCTTTTTTATGGTGTACATGGATTGGAAGAAACAATGTAACCCTTTTTCAAATAAGAAAAAGTCATTTGATAGTTTTTCTTTAATCTATTACTTTGTTGTCTCTCACATGCTGTAAAAGTTCCTCATTTTCAAGTTTATCGCTTGTTGACTCTTTTGTCCAATTGGAAGTGTTTTATTCTCTTGGATTGGGGTTGGTTGAAGGAGAGATCAAGCTTCAAAAAATAGTAAATGGTCTTCCTCTTGTCATCCACCTTTTGTAATTTTATCCCATCGATGAAATTATTTCTTATCTAGAAAAAATCTATGGAAAACATATGCAGTGAAGACCAGTGGAGCAAGATATAGGAAAAAAAATGACATATAATCCAAAAGTTAAGAGAGTAGCCTACTTCTCTCAATCTGCGTCCTAATTCTTCTGTAGTTTTCAACATCTCTACGGCAGTTCGCAAGCGTGGTTTATGCTTGTATGCAATGACATTAAATGCTGTCTGCATCCATAGAAATGAAAAAGAAAATTAAATAGATCTATTTTCCCCCCACCCCCCCAAAAAAAAGGCAGGCATTTGATATTTTTAACACCACCCTTTTGTTAAAATGAACATTCTACTAAAGGGGCAAACCAGTTCTCTATACTTCAAGTCTCTAAAAGCTGCCTCAGCCAAATCTCTCTGTGGAACCAACTTATACTTTGGAAGGAATTTAGACACTCCAATCAATACTTGTGCTAGTGCCCATGGTGGAACCATATCATCTGCAATCTAGAGAAAACTTTTTAGTTGATTGGAGCCCTGACCAACAAAGAAAGTGTTCTAAAAGATCTTTTCAGGAAGATACCTTGCACATTGGTGCAACAAGAACTGCACCCTTCCATGAACGAGGTTGATTGAGGTGTATCCTGAGAGCCACGGCTCCACCCAAAGACTGCCCAAAGATAAAGCTTGGGAGAGCACTAAACTCCGGATTCTCTGCCCTTGGAATCAAGTAAATAAATTTCTAATAAAGGACTGTAATTCACAAAGTTTTTTATTTGTTTGAACGATCTCTGTTGAGATATAAGTAACACGAAACAAATATTTTTGAAAAGGTGGAACAGAAGGTGTTTTGCAGTAAACAAATTTGTTACTTCTTTTATTCGAGAATATTGTTGGATCTATTTTTCTGGACAACAAAGGCATAAGCTGCTAAGGTAAACAAAAGGCAAGGAAGGCAGCAATAAAATAAAGGAAACCTTTCAGCAAAAAATCAAATAAAAACAAAATTTTCGTGGATTGCAGTTATTAACTTCTCATTAAGAAAAGTTGGGGAGTGGGGAATTTTGTAAGATTCCTCATCTTGCTTAAAACCATTTGATTACAATGTTTCATTCACCTTTCAATTTTTAATCACTGTCCAAAAACCTATTATACGTTAGATCCTATTCATCCCCAGAGACTGACAGCTCAACTCTCTCTTTCTCACCCACAAGCATACACACAAAAACAAAATACCATTGGCTAAAGACAGAAATGTTTGGTCCATCAGTTTCATATATCACTATATCAAATTTAAGATATTAGTTTATGGAAATTAATCTTCCACTAACCCCACAGAGCTCCCTCGAAGAACTGTGTAAAGTGTCAGGCTTTCAAAATCCTATCCTTCTTCGGTAAACTGCAGATGTACCCAAATTTATCCGAGCAACCTAAATTAACTCAATAATGGGAATACTTTTGAAAAAGCAGGACTATGGCAAGACCTTTTATTAGACTGACTGACATCTATTTTACAGTACTTACAGAAAATCCTTTAAAACATACAAATGATGACATATGTCATCCTCATCGTGAATAAGAGTCTGAGAAGCCCATGTGATATTATTATCATGGATAACTTTTTTTAAAGAAAAGATCTATCATAGATACCAGTTACAGCGTAGAATCATTTTATCCCAAATAGACTTCTCATAATCAAGTTTACTTCCTTGATCTTGTAATTCTTCTCTTTTATTTAATAAAGAACCAACTTTCATTATTAAGTAAAATGAAAGAGAGAATCAAAGCTGGCCTTGAAAATACCACAGCCAAACCAAAAGAGGGGATAGCCAAAACTACACACGTACACAAGAGAGCCCCAACTATCATCATTATTCAATTTGTCTCCCCAACAATGCTATATTTTTAGATGCAAAAATTATACAAGATGCCAAACCAACATGACTCATATCTAATTCCATCCAGAGGAGGTATATTATATAAACTATGTTCACGTCGGAATTTTGTTGTTATGTACAACAAAATTTACATCATCCCTCCAACAGTCCAACTATAGGTTGTGGACCCAAAGGCAGCAGGAGATAAAATATAATCTTAACTTAAAAGGATGAAGCAAATATTATTCGTATTCCTCGAGATCCATTCTAAGGACAAATTTGAAATTGGAAATATCGAAGTAGGCAAGGATAAGGGAAGGAGAAAAAAGGGCTCACCATCCTCATGTTAAACAAATAATGGTATTTGGTTGTCTCTCAAAACAGCTTTCTCAATACTGTAAACATTTACAAATCTGTTAACAACAAAATTTAGTAATTTAACTCACCTTTCACTTTGGAGTAATGCTCAATGACGTCATCTACAAGCCTTTCAAAGCATGGTATAAAGCCATGAAGACCTTCTGAAAGACCAAACCCTGGGTAATCCATAGCAAAGACGCCATATCCTGACATTGCTAACTTTCTTGCAATTCCTGAAATACAATACCACAAAAAAGTGTCAACATTTTATGAGATCAATATGCAAAGTGACAAACTAGGCCATTTCTATGGCTTCACAGGAGCTACATGCCTTCAAAGAAAAATGTGCAGGTGTCTCCATAGCCATGACAATAACACACCATTGCTTTAGGGCGGGTAGTCTCCGGAATCCAGCTTTTTGAAAATATTTCCAATCCTCTGGAGTTGACCTCATATGACTGTACCAACAAAATTGATGGTCTTAGCTCGAAAACAAGATAGCATAGACTTCATAGGAAGTATAGAATGGTATTACACCTTTCATTAATACTGGTTCATATAAAAGAGCAGCTTTGAAAGAGACCCACTAATATCTTAGCAAAGCACATGCCACCTTTCTTTTGTACGCAAAATGAAGACTTTTATTGAGATAGATGAAAGAACAAAGGGTGGGTACGAATACACAAGTGAACACTAAAGAAGAACAGTCTGGATAGGATTGTAAGGGAATATAAACAAAAGTGCAACCTTTATAATTAACAAAGTAAACTTTGGCATCACTTTGTCGGAGACAGAGTGCACACTCACATCCACAACTATACAACAACACACAAACACAAGAGTCGAGAAAGGAAAATTGTTCTCTTACTCACAATAATGGAAAAGAAACTTAACTTATATTTATTGTCTTGCAATTGACTTCTATTCTACGCCAAATGACTTGTTACACATCTATCTATTTATACTTCTGGAAAAATAACCCAAAAGACTCAACAATTAAGTTTTATAAAATATTTCAACCATTCAAGAATGTAACTAATTCAGAATCTCAGATACGTCTAACTTTAATTTTTGACCTTCAATCTTCTCGAACCATCCATGTATCTAAGACAAGTATAGATTTTGGAATTTTCCTAAAAGGCTACTCATACTTTCTTCTCTCCCACAGAAAAATAGGGCCGGCTGCAAGAAAACCATGCCCGTGGAGTGTAATGGAAACTGTAAGAAGAAATGGTGATTGATTCATCTTGCTTCAGTTCAAATTTCAAAATTTGCGTGGTTTATAAGCTTAAAATTTATAGCATCCCAATAACTGGGATACACCATAATCATATTGAACAAGATATTACCTCTTTTATCCTCAATCCATCGCAAGGTGTCTGAAAAAGAACAACGACAAAAGTCATTGAAATCCCATAGAAAATCGAATTCCCATATTTCAAAAACAAGGCAAATAGCAGCGTATCGGATATCCAAAATCGACCAACTCCTTAAGAACATGAACGAGCATGAAGTAAAGAAAGAAATGGAAAACCAGAATACCTTGAACAGCATGAGCATGAAGTATCAAACATCCAAAATCGACCTAAGCCTTAATAACATACCACGAGCATGAAACTAAGAAAGAAACGGGAAACCAGAGTGATACCTTGAACAGCATGTGATCAATTCCGAGCTGAATTCCTTTAAACGCCTCCCTCGCTCGGCGTCTGGCCGACACGTCGTCCATGTTAGCATCGGCTAGCTTCTGCAACTCATCACTGATACCAGGCAATTTCTTTCTCGGCGCCATTACCGCCTTCCTGTAGCTCCTCTTTCCTCTCGAACCTCCCTTATCGCTGTACTCTACACCAATTCACATAATGCCTGTCAAATTCCGCGAAACATTGCAGACAAAAACAAAATTCAACAATCAATCAAATGATTCCGAAACTTACGTGTTTGGATGCTCGATTTTGTTCTTCCAATTCTAGCTAGGTTGCGTATGGCGAGAAGAGTGGCCGGAAAAATATGGCAGTTGCATCTAAATGCCATGTGGAGATGACATGATTAACTTCAGGAAATTATCCAACCATTGTGAAAGAGAGCTTCAGGAAATCAGCCATACAGTTATAAATCCTATATTATATATCCCGACGGTCAATTCTAAACTTTCATTTTTTCTTATTCGTATACTTTAAAAGGAATATATTTTCATCTTCAAAATATATACTATATATATATTTGTAAATTGTAATTACTTCTTGATGTGACATTTTTTGCATTTAATAAATAAATAAATTTTATTAAAAAAAATTTTACTAATAAAAACAGTCGGTTCAAGTGTATGGACGAGGCACTTATTAAGTTAATGGTTTGATTTTTCACAGTGCAACGATTGAACTTAAAAAAGGTTTCTCAGATTAGAAAGTCAACAGTATTTCGATTGAATAAACTATGTTTATGTGAGTAAAAATGTTTTGGACTTCGAATATACTTCCAAATCATCCTTGTTTTTTTTTTAGTACAAATCATTCCTTCTATTTATTAACATAATATTTTCAACAAATTTCTAATGCTTTTAATTTTTTTGTAAAAGTTCAATTGCTTTGTATCATAAAATTCCTACATTGCATTTAATACAAAATTTAAATTATTTTGTAAAAAATCTAAAATTAAATGCCAAAGAACAAGTTAGATACAAAGTTAAGCAACAATTACAACTATTTCCCAGGTCTTGCTCCATAGTCAGATACAATTTTGTAAAATGAAATTAAGGAACTCTTATTGTATCAAAAACCTTGAGCAGTTGTGCTCTATGAAACCCAACAAGAAGGTTCCTCCATTTCACCGCAATAGTAAGAACAGGACCATCCAAATCAAGGATTAAATGCAATACATATACCTCAAAACTCCCAAGTTTTAAACAAATCTAACAGTATGGAGGCCTGCGTAGCGGTTTAAATTACGGTTTCTGCGAATCGGCAAGAGTTTTATTCAAGAACTTTTGAACAATTGATACAAACTCATCCACTTTTTCTTCATGAGGCAGGTGGCCACAATGCTTGATCACCTCCAAGTGAGATCCTGGTATGGCTTGAGAAAGTCTCACAGCATTCCAAGAGGGCACGAGCCTGTCGCTATCACCAGTTATGATAAGAACTGAAAAACCGAAATCGGTTGGCAAAACAGCAAGATCATTAGCATAAGATGTCTCCTTTGTTAAGGAAGAGTTTAAATTTAGAAATAAATAGACTAGAACTCATACAGCAGCCAAATTATAGACTAGTTTAGGTTAAGCTCGTGAATGCAACAAGTTTGAACTGTTGAATTGATTTGGAAAATGAACAGGAAAAATATTCTAATACTTTTGTTACCCAAAATTGGCAGAAACAGTGTTGATTAAATGTATGTAAGCAGCCTGCATTAATTAGTCTTTGAAATTTTCACTTAAATATAAATGGTTAAAAAATGGTCCATGGACTTTCATTGAAGTAATGATTTTCTCTCAACTTTAATTTTCTAAATTTTAATTTGTAACGATTTAGTTCATGTACTTTCATTGTAACAATTATTCTCTGAACTTTAGCACGTAACAATTTAGTCTATATAATTTAAAATTTGTAACAATTTAGTATCTACCGTAAAAAGCCTCATCAAATATTGATTTTTATTATATAACAATTTAGTTTTTGTAATTTATAAATACATTTAGTTCTTCATCAATTTATCGATCTACATATATGAGAAATCATATTAAATCTTGACTACATTTTCCACAATAGGAACTCAATTGTTATAAACTTTAAACTACAAATACTAAATTATTACACATTAAAGTACAGGGATAAAATCGTAACTAATTTGAAAGTACAAAGACTAAATTGTTAGAAACTAAAATTCAGAAACTAAATTATTACTCTAATAATAGTACAATGAGCCGTTTCTTAACCAATCCTAATATATCTCATCTCTTTAAATAGATGCAGAGCAAGTTCAGGCAGCATAGTGTTGGGAGGAATAAAGAGTTAATACTATTCAACTTACCAGGACAGGAAATTTCGTGTAGTCTTTTTGAAAGTGGTGGGGAAGCCCTATCTGTGAGCATTGCCGCAACAAATTCTACAAGTGCCTTGTCCCAATCTTTTGTCCTCAATGGCTGAAATTTTACCATGAGATAGCCTTCTCGAATAAAAAACGAAAAAATAAAGATAGCTCTAACTAATATAATTACCTTTGTATAGCCGTGTAGCACATGCTCATTTACTCGAGCAGAATCGTACCAAGCATTCTTAATAGCAACAAAACCAGCTTTATCAATAATCAGCCGTACCTAGACACCAGAATGTTTAAAGAACTAATATGTTCAGTTGTTGAAAAAGTAAAGGAATTGAAAATGAAGGGACAAATCTACAGCACAAAATATATATACATATTTAAATCCGTTGCGCTCAGTTTCGACAGATTTAAGTTTAAATGGTAAAGGGAGAAACTTTAGCAAGCTACAAGATGAAATACTTTACCAACATTCGAATCAAGGTCGAACGTAGAATAGCTGATACAAGTTTTATGTACAAAGAGTCAACAATTTCTAGAATTCCTTTCATCATTTGCATTATCGACTGAACAATGAGCTTGGCCACCTCTGACAGAATCTTGAACAGCCGGATCACTGGATTCCCTACAGCATTTGAATCGAAGACATTCTCTTGGACCGGGCTGTCTTCGCGAATTTTAGCCCCAAAAGGAGCCAGAATTGCTGGGGCAACAAGGATCAAAGCAGCAACACTTTGTGGAGATTGGAAGTATGAATTTACTGCTATAAGCGAGCCAGCTGAATGCCTAGGATGATAACAGATTGCATAATAGATTAGAAAGGTCGCAGAATTAAAGAGAAGAAGAACCCAATTCATGAATAAAAATCAAACCAGAAAACAGTTTGGTCTCATCAAGAAATTTAGGAAGTGATATCAAAACCTTTATTAGCTCTCCACTGTTACTCTGGATTTTTTTTTTTTTCAAATGACACCTTCAGTTTAAGTAAAAAACACTTTTTCTATAACTACTTTAGCACTAGTTAAATGTTTTTCCTTAAAAGCCTTTAAGTAATGTTGTACTGTTTTTAAGAATTTTCAAAATCACTTTTGATTATCTAACTAAATACTGAGAAAATTTTGGAAAGTAGAAACATTTTTCATCCTCCCAAAAGTCATACCAAAGTCTTATTCTGTGAAATCCTCCTTAAAGATCATATGTCACAGGTTGCTACTATTCATGAAATGATTCCGTGATTGGAAAAGGAAGAGTCATATAATCTTAACAAGATGAACCTTTCCAGTATGCGTGTGTGCGATTAGAACTATGCTGAAATGGTGCATTGGAAGGATAGATTGATGAAATTCATGGGTTCCCACCAGAGACAACCCACAGAAGTAAAGACAGAAATATGCATACCCAATCAAGATTGCCTTTTCAGCTCCTAAGAAACCGATAAAATAGAGAGTAGCAAGGACTGAAAACGCCATGCTGTATGGATTCAGAGGCTTTTCGTCCTTCATACCAGGAGAAGAATGCCCCAAATAATTCACTCTTGAAGTCAATCCAAAGGCTGGTCTATCAAATGCCAAAACTTTGGAACCAGTAATATCAGCTAAAGGCTTCATAACCCAATTCCATGAGAAAACAGACGCTCCAAAGCCATGTAAGAGAATCATAGGAAGACCAATCTTTTTAGTCTGATGAGGAGACGAAGTTACAGGCAGAGTTGGACTTGGATTTGGGGTCAGGGTCGTAGTTTGAGTCTGGAATAAGGTGTCCCCTTGTAATTCCGGATCATAAACCTTGTAGTGTACTTCCAAATCATTAAACTTACAGAAGCAACTATCAGGATCAGCCAACATTGTTGGTTCCAACAGTTCTTCTTGATCTATACCAGCTATTTTCCTCCTCCGTTTTGCTTTGGAATCATACAATTGGTCTGTAGATTCGAAGAAGTCACCCATAGAACATTTGTGTGAGCATCAGTAGTAAAACCCAAAAGCCTACTCTATCTTCCATCCAGAAAAGAAAGGAAACATCGTCAAAGTCTGATTTCTTCAGAAATAAAACCCTAAATCCTACTTTTGGAGCAAGAACTATCCGATCATGGTTCACCGAGAACGCAGAAAGCATACGACAGGAAGAAAACTAGTTTCGTAAGTGAATTGCAGAAAACACAGAGATTGAAGACCAGAAGAAAGGAAGAAGGAGAGTAAATTACCAGAGTATTCAGCACCGGAACCGCCTACGGAGGAAGAAGCAGCAGGGGAAACAGAGAGAGAAACGCGAGAAATTGAGGAGAAATGGCGCGGCGAAGAGGGAAAACCATAGCTGCCATGAATCCTTGGACCGCCATTGATGCCTGCACCGAAATGCAAGAACAGAGCAGCGGAAGGGGAGAGCACGTGCCCGAACATCCAGCGCGAATTACTCGGCCCGATCCACCGAACTTTTTGAGAGCCGTGCCGCACAAAAAGCGTTGTCGTCTAATCATAATGAAGATTTTGGTTTTATCTCTCTGAAACGACAGCGTTGAAGGAGTCTTTCGTCTTCCACGTATAGAACTAGCATAGGGTTCCGTCAGAGGCGAAATTGAGGCAACCAAGAGCAAGATAAACTCCAATGGAAGCACTGGTGTGCAGGAAGCTCGGAGATCCAACAACTTCGACGCGAATCGATGAGAATTCTCCGATAGTACTGAGTAAGAACCATCCGATCCCGCAGTTGGATTCTCCGACGTCGGTCAGAGTTCAGGTGAAGGCTACAAGTTTGAATTACGCCAATTACCTTCAGATTCTTGGGAAGTACCAGGAGAAGCCTCCTCTCCCGTTCATCCCTGGTTCTGATTACTCCGGAATCGTCGATGCCGTGGGCTCCAAGGTTACAAAGTTTCGAGTCGGAGATCGCGTTTGCTCCTTCGCCGGTGACGGTTCTTTTGCTCAATTCATCGTCGTCGATGAGTCACGTTTGTATGATTCTTTCTCGCCGCCATCGGCCTCTTTCTCTTACAGCCATGTGATGCCATTGAATTTGCACTGAAGCATCTCTCTTCTCTGTATTGTTTTTACCTTTTTTATGAACAAACTGAAGGTTCCGAGTTCCAGATGGATGCGACCTGGCGGCCGCCGGCGCACTTCCGGTTGCATTCGGGACCTCGCATGTTGCTCTTGTACACAGGGCCAAGTTGGCCCCTGGACAGGTATTGTTCTCTCTCTTGATGAGATGTGTGAATTTGCTAACATCTTTCATGGATTTATCTCTAAGCGCAAAAAGAAGCTTACAAAAATGGCTTCTGCATATAAGATTTTAGACAACAATCTTTACAGAAGCAGAAGAATCGATTAAGAAATCGGAGAAAGCAATTTATTCGTAATGGAGTCCTCAATTTCTTGCAGCAAGACAAAAATCCTGACACCCAATCAAATTTCTGCGCATCATTGGTGTTCGTGTAATTTTTGGATTAGAAACTTATGAAAACATCTTAACAAAACTTTATCACTAATTGACATCAATAGAAGAAGAAGAAGTAGAATAGCCAGTAATTTTTTAATCAAGGCACAAAGTGTGCTATCTCAGGTTGGAGAAAAGCCAGAAATTAATAAAATTTTACATTTTAGCTTCCTATATATATATAGTCTTTCAACTTAGGAAAAATCAAGGGAGACAAATTAGAAAGAAAATATTAAAATCTTTCAACTTCGATATGTAAGTGTTGCTGACCAATGGAAGAAAAACTTGGCGGCAAGAGATTCTGCGTGCATTCTCTTACAGATGCTCAGTTCCTTGTATGCTCCAATCCAAATAATGCAAAGATTAGTAGTATTCTGATAGATTGAAAAGATGAAAATAGTGAAAGGAACTTCGTCTAAAAGTGAGATTAATCCTAAGCCAAAAGTTCTAATTTCCAAGTTTACTTTGGTTTAGTTGAGCCATCTTTAATGAGTAGTGTGTTTGGTTGAGACATTAATTGAAAAGTGTGCTTGAAGAGCATTTGATTGAGCCATTAATAAGGTTGATGATAGTTTATGGCTTTTTTCTTTTTTTGGTAGAAGTTTTATTTCAGATTTCGTTAGGTGTTTTTTTAGTACAACACGTGGGAGTGAAGATTCAAACTCACGGTCGAAAGTAGATACTTTAATTAATTAAGTTATGCTCAAATTGGTTAATTTTAACTGTTTCGAAAGATTTTGTTAATAATAGCTAGGAATCTTGTTTGAGCTTTGGCCTTCTACAATCTTTTTTGTTTTTTTTGGGTGAAGCATGATTCAGTTATTGAAGCTTGGTGAGAGTGGTTTTTTATTTTTATAGCTTTTTGGCTCGTTAGATTTTATTCTCATAAATATTAGATAGCCTTGGCGTTTTATAATGCTTCATTTGTCAAGATCCAATGAAAGTTTTTTTTTTCTTTTTTTGTAAGAAACAAAAAGTATATTGAGTTTGCTGCGATGAGAAAGCCCCCTCCTATGAGAACTAGTGAAGTAGAGCTTTCCAATCTTGGTTCATAAATTAAAAAAAAAAAATTGTATTTGATTACTCCTTTTATTAACGGGTGAATTACAGCTTTCCAATCTTGGTTCATAATTAAAAAAAAATGAAAAAAAAAATTGTATTCTCACCATAACTTAGGTTCTAGTTTTGCTCTTCTGTATCCTCCTATCAGAGCTCGGTTTTCCATTAGAGAGAGGGAAAAAAGCATTACAAGTCCAATCACTTCAACATCTTCTCTTTTCGCCCATGGTCAATAGCCACAGGCCAGAATTGTTCCTTCCCACCTTTGCTTAAACATGCTATTATTCACTTCCTTTCTCTTGACCATTTGCTTCTCAGATTGTTTTGTTCTTAAATATCTAGACTTTTGGAGAGAGTATGATAACGTGCCATCCATAATGCATGATTTTAAAATGGAAACTGTTAGGTATTGCTGGTGCTCGGGGCAGCTGGAGGTGTCGGGATAGCTGCTGTTCAAATCGGAAAGATTTGCGGTGCAGTAGTTATTGCTGTTGCTAGGTAATCCTAATCAAACATCAGCTCTGTCCAAGAGTTTCTGTTATTTGCTGGTCCCATTTCTCCTACTTCCTAGACAAGATTATAATTCAGTTTACTGTCTATTGCACTGATGTTTGAAACATAAAATGAGATCTATCCCTTGCATGCATTGTCTTTCAGGGGAGCTAAAAAGGCCGAGTATCTCCAATCGTTGGGCGTTGACCATGTAGTGGATGTAAATCATCAGAACGTCATTGAAAGTGTGAAGGGCTTCCTCAAGGAAAGAAAACTTAAAGGGGTTGATGTTTTGTATGATCCAGTTGGGGGAAAGTTGACAAAAGATTCGATGAAACTTTTGAATTGGGGTGCAAACATTCTTGTCATCGGGTTCGCCAGTGGGGAGATCCCTGTTATTCCCGCAAATATCGCTCTTGTTAAGGTAACTTCTTTTTCTTCCAAGCATGTTTTATATTGGGCAACTTAAGGACAGAAGGTTGCTTCTTCCATTTCCATCCCAGTAAACCTAGTGTCGCAGCTTTATTTAGTCCCTTTACTTTAAAAAGTTACTAATGGATCTTTAAACTTTTAAAATTAGGTTTATCAGATCTGTATACTTTTAAAAAGTTTTTTAGTCGATCTCTGAACTTTTAGTTTCGTGCCAGACAGATCGTCGTTAACTTTTTCAGTTTAATATTTTTCTGGCAATTTAAATGTATCGTTTACCGATTATTCGATGGGCTAATTTCAAGCCGGTCTAGATATTTGATGATATGATATTTATACTAATATAGTTAACACGGGGACATATCTAAACACAGAAATTGAAAGTTCGGAGACTTGTTAGACACTTTTTATAGTATCCAAGGACTAGATAGATATAACATTAACCTTTTCCTTTTACGACCCTTCAATTGCTAACTGCTGAAGAACTTATCAAATGTTCAATATCTTTATCTAATATGACCAGAACTGGACGGTTCATGGACTTTATTGGGGCAGCCACACAATCCATCAACCCCAAGTTCTTGAAGAATCTCTGAATCAGCTAATATCATGGTTATCAAGTGGATCAATCCGTGTTCACATTTCTCATACTTATAGCCTGCCAGAGGTGAGTAATCCTTGATCTTATTTCAATAGCTGAAAGATGTCAAAAGATTTGAGAACTTGAGAAATTCATGTGGAATTGGATTTTTATCAATCATGTTCTTGATATCGTCTAGCGAATTTTTATTTCGGGGTTATTGCGATTTCTTTTCTTTCTGGGGCCAGTTCTCTGTCAGGTGTTAGTAATTAAATTTATCTGGCTGTTCACCATTCTTTGAGCATATTACTGTTTGCAAATCTCCGAATGCTTATTGAAAAAATGTACAAATTATTTCTAATAAGCATAAGATTTTGACTTTGATGAATGAGGGGTGGTTGCTTGAGCTGGAACTCCAAGCACTAATCCATTAACTCCCACCCCTTCCATACCCAAAAAAACAACCCGAGATAACCGATCTCGCATCAAGGATTGTATTTACGAGGCAACTGTATAAAGAAGGGTGGCTCACCATGAATGTTTGTGAATGAGGAAAGAGGGATTTGACAACTGATAAACCATGTAGGAAGTCTAAAAGGAGTGAGGAGTTGAACTCAGGTTTTCCATATCTACTGCAATAAAAAAAACGTATAAAAGTTCTCTTGTTGCTCTTATTTGACTGATTCATTACTTATCATGTGTCACTGGTAAATGAATTTGCCATGTGCTTTTTTTTATTATATCTGGATCAGCTTGAGAGCACACCTTCACTGATCTCACGGGACAACTGTTTGACCCTACTACAATTAGTTGAGGTGATTTATAAGATATTAAATTTTTGGTAGTTGGTCACTATAGTTTGAAGTCATTCCACCAAATCCTCTACTATTTACGTTGGCCCTTATTGATTTATCATGCTTATTTTGAGTCAGATCCTTGAGTTGCTTGCATATCAACCTAAACTGATACATCCCTTTAGAAAATAAAACAATATAAGTATTTTCTTTCGTGTTCAATGTTGGATTATTTCCTTACGTTACGGTAAAATACATAGCATCTAATCTGACATATTTCGTCTAATTTTTTTCACAGGCCAACCTTGCCTTTTCAGCCATAAAGGACAGAGAAGTTGTTGGAAAAGTTGTATTGGTCATTGAAGACAAGACTGTGAAATCGAAGCTGTAACTTCGTCGGGAATTCGATCTTGATGCATTGAAGAAATAATAGCTGTAATGTTCTGAAACTCAAGATTTCCTTTTCATTTTCTGCAGAAATAAGTTTGTAGTCTGTCAGTTAAAAACTACACATACATGCACAAGTTCGCAGAGAGTGGCTGTCTACAGAAGCAAGGATTTTAAAAAATAAAAGAAAAATAATAATTTACTGGAATCTATTCGTGCTTGGAAATATATATATATATATATATATATATTTGACTTCTTGGAAAAATATGTTTGACTCTCGGTACGAATGTATCTATTTTCATACGTTAATAGATTCGTCGATATTTCTATGATATAGTAAAAAAAAATCGATAAAGTATTAGAAAATATCATTAATATACCTCTAATTAATTTCAATAACAATAATTTTTTTAAACTTATTTGAAAAAGGTAAAATACTTATTTGTTAATTTAAATATTTTTTTATTTTTACAATTTTTTCAAAACTATTTATGGATATCTTGTCAAAATTTTATAAATTTGAGATCTCGGACAGTTTTATTGATATCGACGTCTAAAATCGCATAGTTTTCATATTTTAGCAATGACATCTTGTCGGAATTTCCATCAATATTTGAGACCTCTACAGTTTTATTGATATCAATGTCTAAAATTGCGCTTTTATATTTTAGCATTCTAAGTTATATTTTTTTCATTAAAATTTTTATTAAAAAACAACATATACATGAAGTCATAAGAACTCCTACAATTCAAAAATGGTTTAGTTTTCGTCCACTATTAAGTAAGATTGAATGAGTACGGAGGCCAAAATATTATAAGAGCCCTAAAAATGTATTTAACCTTTGCTAATTTTAAAAATAAATAACAAGGGTGTTTTAAATTCTAATATGAGTATGAACATGTAGGTTGGTTTTATCTCTTATGGGAAGATATTTGATTTCTACAAAAACCAATTATAAGCACATAAATTCGACCATTTGAGCTTTAAATTTTTATAAACACCTTTTTTATATCAATTAACAGAAATATTAAGAAAAAAAATAGTAGAACTGTTGCGATAGAAAATGGGTTAATTAAAAAATATAAATGACTTAAGTTAACAGCACAAAATGATAGAAAACAAATAATAAAAATATAAGTGGTTTGTCACATGATTGTATAACCTAGTGCTATATATATAAATACATATTCTTTTTGTGTGTGTTTTTTTTTTAATTCCCTCCTAATTACACTTCCATAAATGACTACTATTAAGCATCTTACATCAAAAAATTAAGAAAAATATATTTAAAAAGTAACTATTTTTCAGAAAACTGAAAAGCCAAAGATTGAAAAAAAAAAGGAAAATATCAGTAAAAAAGAACATAAAAGACATTCTCTCACTTCATCAAGAAGATCTGGACTGAAGACAATAGTTAACAAAACTATTGTATAGATTTGATTTTGCTACCAAAAAGAAAAGCCAGCAGTGGCACAGCACGGCAAAAAATAGCCTGAAAAAATCTCTCTATAAAGTACGAATTGAAGCAGCCAAAAGAATCATAAGTTTCTATTCAGCAATCACCAACTGTAAATTCTGCAGTTACCATATTCATCTTTTATTATCTAAGCAAATGGCAAGATGGAAATGCAGCCCTTCCAAATAATTATTGTTATATTCACAGAAGTGAAGGCTACTATTTACAAGGGAAGAGAATCTACTGGCCATAGCCTATAGATCAATTCGATCGGCTCCTACTTCCATTTTCAAAAAACGGATGCATTCCTGCTGCAACATTTGTCCTCCTCGCACTGGATCAAAACTGCACTTGTAGAAACTGAACGAAAAACAAATGAAATTCCACAAGTAAGAAGCATGAACTCTGTATTTTGTGTTTCCATCACCCAAACACTACCTTAAGAACCAATAGTATCTTCACCGACATCGAAGTTATTTGGTTTAAATCTTATTTTAATCTCTAAACTTTCGTACGTAATTCATTTTCATTGCAGGAATATTTTTTATTAATAATCTAACAATGATCCAAATCCATTTGAAAACCAACCTATAACCTACCACCTGCGGTTACAAACACTTTTTATATGCCATCAAGTTTATGTTATATAATTTAATTAAAAAAAGTGCAATGACCAAAATGACTTTTTAAGCAAGGTTGAGGGATTAAGAACAAAAATGGAATAAACAGGTTTTACAAATATATCATATGTTAACTTGGATCTAGGAAACAAATTTTCTTATCTCTTTACGCATTAGCATGAACAACAAACAGCAGGAGGGAAACATGAAAGCATATTTACAATTCAATTGCTTACCTCCCATCCATGCCGACGACAATGATCGTGTTTTGAGATCCAAATGCTGCAATAAACTGTGTCACCTCTGGCAAATGGAACTGCGCGAATGACCATTCTGAACTGAAGTATCTCGGTAAAACCCCTGCATTGTGTGGTGAAAGATTAGTAAAAGATTTCACGAGTTCAGAAAACTTCCATCAAACACAAATATGAAGCAAATGTTGGCCCCGTTCGCCAAAACCAAACAAGAAAGAGAACAGTTCTTTTGTTTCATTGTTTCCCCCATCAAGATGATTGGCATGTTCTCTAATTTAAGAAGTAGGAGTACAGATTACTACTGAAGTTATGTACTTCAATCAACAGTTGGCCATCCTAATGTCGTTTACCATCCCAACCTCAGAAATTTAGAAGTTCCCAAACTTATTTGTTCTGTTTAAAATAACAGATACCCGGATAAATTGCAACGAAACTACTCTAACTACAATGTTAAGCTTCATAAATATCATGGAGTTTAATCATAACCATTCAAAGTCCCCAATATAACTGATAAACAAACTACCTTACCTCTCATGAACGATAATGATGAACTTGGGTTTGAACCAGTATTCAAAGGAACGAGGGTATCAAGGGAAGTAGAAGGAGTCTGCTGGAATAGTGTGGGTCCCTGAATTACATTTGTATCAGGGGATGGATCTGGGCCAACCACTCTAACTCTAAGGCTAAAAACATGAACAGTGCCTTTATCACTTGCTGCTGCCAACCATTGGACATTTGGGGACAGAGCAAGACTGAAGATTTCTGCTCTGTCCATTCCTCTTCGTACCTAAACAGAAGAAGTACATGCAACAAAAACATAAAAAGCGGCACTAAAACCCTTCATAACTATTATAATAAGGAAAATTAAAAATTATACAGAGGGAGAGAGAAAAAAGAAAAGGTAACATTACAAGTGCAAAAGAAGCCATCCATCAATCCTAAAACTCATAATTCTCATTCTATTGCAAAAAGCACAGCATAAAAGAATGATATTCTTAGTCATCAAATCTTTTGCTTTATACATCCTGAAAATAGAATATATTTTATCATGGAAATAAAAGTCATGACACGAAGTACGAAGTTAGGCTCAATTCTATTTTAATTGCGTTAAAAATAAAAGGATCAACAATCAAGTGAGTGCATATAATGTCTTCTCTTTTCTCTTGCTTTCAACATCATATCTAATATAAATAACTTGGTCTAGGAAGGCAAATTGCAAACTCAAATGCATTTGAAATCATGGTTCAAACTATGGTGTCCACCAATTTAAAATTTTAAATTAAATATCTTACAAATTTTCTGATGTCAAAAAATGTAAGGTGATGTAATTGTATTGTCAGAAGCATTAAGGTGTACAAGAGCTAGCTCCTACAATCAGTTTTCACTTTTCAATTAAATATATATACACACACACACATATGTGTGTAATAGAACGTGGGACCATAGTCAAATCCAGGGTCTAGCGGTACAATACCTCTTGCAAGAGAGTTCCATCCAATGTATTGAAAATTCGTATCAAAGTACCCTTGGTGCTGGCAGTTGCAAGAAGTAGACCATCCATTGTCAACGTCAAGCATGCAATATGAGAATCATGCGCATTAAATAACTTTGTCACATTTAGCCCAAAGTGCTCAACGTGCACCTGTCCACGTTGAACACCAGGACATGCCAGCACAAATGTATTTACATGGTGGGAAAGGCAACATATGCCCTTTGGATTTGCAACAGTCTCAATCTGATGAAGAAGCTTGACATCCATCAGTGTGTAAACATATATTTTATGCTCAAGTACGACAACAAAGTGTTCACGTTTCAGCTTTACAGCTCGAATCTCAGACCTAAATGAAAATTCACCAATGCATTGACTTTTATAATCATCCCAAATCAAAACTTTGTTTGGTGGATATTGAGAATTAGTTCCACTGCCCACGAGTGCCAAAATGTTGCACCGAAACAGCATCTCAACAATTTTAAATCCACCAATGCCCAGTTCACGTCTAAATGTTTCCTTGAAAGGATCACAATTGTAAATACGAAACCCACAGCTTGTACCAGCAGCAAAGCAACTATAGTCTTGATTCCAGAACACTGAAAGTAGTTCTAGCTCATTGTTTCCATATGGTTCATTTTGATCAGGAGATCTGGAAGCTCCAACTTCTGAGGATTCCTGGGCAGTCGGCATTTCTGGTCGAAGTATTCCTTCAATGTTTTAACAGCTGAGCTCAAGTGGAAGGAGGGATATGATCATTCACTGCCTGCAGCTATTTACAAATAGTTCATTTACATGGAAATATGGAATAAAATGAGTAACCCTTATCAAATCATTGAAGTGGAGATTTCAAAAATTCAAACCAACAAAAATGAAACTTCGAACCAAGACAAAAAATGATATGAAACTGGTAATTCAACCTTGTAAATGTGAACGAAGTATCAATTATGGTATATCAATAGTTCTTGTGAATATCACGTGCACAGAATGAGAAATAATAAAGTTAAAAAGAATGTATTCAAGTATATATCAACGAATATAGATCAGCCAACAGCAACATTACGTACTGATGGATTAGAATAAGATTAACTCATTGAACTTGTACAAATACTTGACAGGTACTCATAGAGTCACACTGAAAAGAGCATTGTTTTCCTATTGAATTATCGTATTTAACAATGTTTGCTTCATATTAACTAGTTAATACTTCTGTTGTAATTAAATAAGTTTAGTTGGTTTTATTACCTAGTTCAGTTTGATGAGCTGGCTAGCAACTCAGCTCTATTTATATTCGAATGCTTCGACCCATGACATTATATGGCTATGAAATAAATTTATAGCCTTAGGTTGAATCAGGAATGATATGGTTATTGATAATAAATCTTTGCAACAATTATGCTTCGTCAAAATTGCATCAAGTCGCCAGTAGACTGATGAAATTTACCACAATGGAGGACCCATATTCTTGTTAGAAATGAAATTTTATATTCTCTTTCGTCTTACTCTCCTAACCCTACCATAACCAAATGCCAAGAAAAGTAAAAGCAGAAGAATCGCCTGTTACCTCTTCCAACTTCCAATTGAGTTCTTCACATTCATCAACTTCATCTATCTTAATTATGGTATTGATGTTACGGCTACGTTAAAACAGAGCAGGCAATTTGGGAAGAAAAGACTAAAGGGAAAGGTCAGTGCTACAGTAGATTTCATGCGAACGAGCAGACAAGAAAGACAATGGATTGTAAATTTACACAAAAAAGAATGGGATGAGTTGCAAGAATTGCAGGGTGATCAAAATCTCAGCAATCTTGGATAAAATTGTGGAGGATTGCAAAATATAATCATGATTTGAAGAAGATCAAAGAATACCTTTGTTTCATCCAAGCTCACGACGATCTGTTCCTCTGTGTACCTCTCCGGCTCTCCCGTCCTCTGGGACTTGAACCGCAGATATGGCGTCGCCACCTCCCACCCTTCTTGTTTATTTATTTTTGTTTTTACGTTTTTTTGTTGGAATACTTTTTTTAAGATCTTTGTTGAGATTTTTCCTTTTCTTTCCTGAAATATTTAAATTACCGTTCGTACGATAATTTTAACAGCTCAAGTTGGTTGATCTTTCTTGCTCAAGTAGGTATTGATTTTTCTTAAAAAAAAAAAACACAGTATCAATAATTTTTTTGTCAAGACCAAAAAGATAATTGACATAAATTTCTTGCCATAAAGTTGTGAATACGATCTTTCAAACATAATTCATCGATAATTGACATAAATCTTTGAATAAAAAGTTGTGAATTTAATATTCCAAACATAACTCGAGAATAATTAACATAAATTTTCAATTAAGAAGTTGCGGATTCGATCCCACATGTTACATTAAAAAACAAATTAATTATTTTTTTAGTACTCATGAATTTTTTTTTTTTGTTCTACACAACTCTATAGCAAGTCCCTATTAAATCTATCGAACGGACAAATATTGCTATCACACCATTAAGATGTGAATTATTTTCTTACTTTGACAGTAACAATATACATTTAGTATAAAGTATGTGTTTTGTAGGGTTAAGTTACTAAGAACTTGTTTTTGGTAGGCAATTTTGATTATGTTTTTTATTTTCAAATTAACTGAATCTATTGGTCAAATGAATATCTGTTTTGGCATATTTACTTTTTAAAAATTATTTATGAATTATGTAATTTATAAAAATTTTCAATATTTTCAGATTTTAAACTTTGTAGAATTACATTGAAAAATAAATAAATATACCCATAAATGTATTGTTTCATATTACAAACTCGTTTGATTTTTTTAATTAAAATATGTAAACCATAATATATTATAAATTTTATAATATTGTAAGATAATGATTTTCCAAAATTTATAACAAAAAAAAAATGAATAAATTAATTAATATTATTTTTAATTTAATTAAATATTTAATTGGTAACTCAAACTAACTTATAAATATATTACTAAACACAGTTGAACAGGTTTTAAATTAAGATTCAAACTTTTAAATTTGTTATCAAATACATATCCGAAATACAGGGTACATAAATACAGTTTATTAAAAGTTTAGTAGAACATACCATCAAAGATGCATTAATACACATTAATACAGATGTAGATTTTTTCGAAGGTAAGACATGACTAAAAACTCAAACAACTGCAAGATGATATGGTGGATCATGGAGGCCCCTAAAATATCTGCTAAAACTTGATGATGGATGTTTCTAGGAGGCTTCTTGAGCTAATAAGTCCCTATTGGAATGTTACAAGCTTGATTTGCAAGTCGGTCCGCATAAAAATTTGCTTCACAATATATATGAATTACATACGCAGTTTAAACTGTTTAAGGTATAGATATTGAGTTCAAATTTCTACCATACTAAGAGGACGGAAAAGGAACCATTTTGAAAAAAAAAAAGGGAGAAAAATATATATTCTGTGGGTTTGGGCCTTTCACGGGCAAAGTTATGGGCCTTTCCAAAATGTCGGTTCCGTCCTTCGACCTCCCCTGTCTTCTCATATATAAGGACCTAGGGTTTCGAAAGAGGGACGAGCCGACGAGGTCAAGTTCGAGCAGAGAGGGACGAAGGAACGCACGCTCGCGATGGGGAGAAGTACGTAAATCTTTTCGTTTCTTCATCTAATATAATCTTCCATGTTCTTCTCTGATGAATAATCTACTTGTCTGTCGCTCTTTTTTTTTTAATTTTTTTTTTATGTTATATGCATCTTCTTCATCGTTTTTTTTTTATCGGACGCAATCTGAGGATAAAAATTAGTTTATCAGAAAATGTACGGTATATCGGTGATGATCGTCACTTTATCTTGGATGCATAGTTAAACTGTTGGAAATGGATGGGTTTCTGCTTCTTCCTGTTGGAATCTGTGGTGCTTTAGTCTTCTTTTGAACTGTCTCTTTAATGTCTTGGTCTTGATATCTATAATTTGTTATTCATGCGTGTTCTTGAGCAGGAAGGCAAACTAATGTTGATTATACATTCAATTCCTAAGATGCAGTCTGTTCAATCTCTCGTATCAAATTATTAATTATCGTTTAGCTTACGCATTGTTATATGTTGCGCAGATTTCAAAGTAGTTACATCTTGCACCCTTGTTAGTTTTCGCATTATGCTTTTCAGTGAATACACAGAATGGGGTTTTTACTATGCACATGGAGGAATATTGCAACTTTTTTGTTTTAATCGCACTCTAGTTGCAAGTGCATACTTAGTTGAGTGCATCTTCTCGGTGGAAAATATTAGGTGGTGATTGTTAGAATACTTAAGTTATGCAAATAAATTATGCGTAGCGGATCCCATCATGTTCCTTTGAGTTGATAGTCTCTGACAACCCTTATGTAATTATAATTATTTATCCACACCACATGCTCTTGTATGAGGAGTCATAGTTTGAAATGATTTGTCTTTTTATGTTCATTCTGCTTGTTATTCATTGCCTTTTATTATATTTTGTAGGACCTGCTAGGTGTTACCGACAGATTAAGAATAAGCCATATCCCAAATCTCGGTTCTGTCGTGGTGTTCCTGATCCTAAAATCAGGATCTATGATGTTGGAATGAAGAAGAAAGGAGTGGATGAATTTCCATTTTGTGTTCACCTAGTGAGTTGGGAGAAAGAAAATGTGTCCAGTGAGGCTTTGGAAGCCGCTAGGATTGCTTGTAACAAGTATATGGCCAAATTTGCTGGAAAGGATGCGTTCCATTTGAGGGTCAGGGTGCACCCCTTCCATGTTCTGCGAATTAATAAGATGCTTTCATGTGCTGGGGCTGATAGGCTCCAGACTGGAATGAGAGGTGCTTTTGGCAAGCCACAAGGAACCTGTGCAAGAGTGGCAATTGGTCAGGTTCTTCTTTCGGTCCGCTGCAAGGATAGCAACAGCCAGCACGCCCAGGAGGCCCTCCGTCGTGCTAAGTTCAAGTTCCCTGGACGTCAGAAGATCATTGTTAGCAGGAAGTGGTACGTCTTGAGAATTTTTGCAACTTGTTTTTTATTCCTCTTGCATTGTAAACTAGCTTCGCTGCTATGCATTACTTTTCACTTGCCTTGAGTGTGTTCCTTTCAAATAGATTGTTGCGTGGAATTTTCATTCTTTGTTTGGGATTAGATGGAGGAGTATACAAGTCTTACTGATTGATAATTGTTTCAAATTTCTTTTTCCAGGGGATTCACTAAATTCAGTCGAGCTGATTATCTTAAGTTCAAGGCAGAGAACAGAATTCTTCCCGATGGTGTTAACGCCAAGGTAAGCTATATTGCATTCATTCCATATACATGCTTTATTGCTTTCATTTGTACACAAGAATCCATCCAAGGTTTGCTACCAGACGCCACTTCTCTTCTATGTAATGAACTAATTTATGAAGACTCATTTGAAGCATCTGAACATAATAGATATTCTCTGGATGCTATAAATGTTACTTGGTTGGTAGGATCATATTTCATTATTTCTCATAGCTTGTCGATTTTTCTTGGTTCTTATTCTCTGATAAGTCATAATTACATGGTTAATTTGGTTATTACTTTCAATTTGTTAACTGATGGAGCCGCATTTGGACTTTGCAGCTTCTTGGATGCCACGGGCCTTTAGCGAATCGTCAGCCTGGAAGAGCTTTTCTAGAAGCTGCCTAATCTTCTCAGCTAGTTGTTTCGTTTTGTCTTGATTTTTAAGTTTTTGATACTTGAACAAATCTCTGTCATTATATTTCGTTTGTATTAACTCATTATTCAGGCCAGTTTTAATTCAGTACCAAGTTTTGCTTAAGAATTTCGGATATACCAACCAGGGAGTTGAGGTTTAAGGCCAAGGTTATAGCCTAACATAACGTCCCCTCTTCAAAAAATTTAAATTTGTTTGCTAAATTAGGTTTAATCATTTTATTAATTTTAACGGAATAAGTGTTTAAAATAACAGATCAGTAGTGACTTCAAAATTTAAGTTTTATTTTTTGTAAGATAGGATTTTAGAAATATCTTATGAAGATGCGTCAAATATTTGCTTCATATTATCATTATTCCCCAATTGACATAAAAAATTGACGTGCACTTATTCTTTTAGCAAACTGAAACTAAATCAATTAGATACAATTACAAAATTCACCCCACTAGTTTAGGTCACACGTTGTAACTGTTAAAAGAAAACATAATGTATGATGATTCAAATGAAATACCTTTTTAATTAATTAGTTATTTATTATACATTAATGCTTTGCTTTTTTTTCCCTTGTGTAAAAAGAAACTGCAAGTGCTAAGTTGCCCGTCTATTTCTTCGCCTCTGACATTTCTTTTTTTCAACATTGGTTTTGTTTTGTTTCTATTCTACGAAAGTTACACAAATATAATATTTTAGAATTAATTTCTTTTTTGTACACACATACAAGGTTATTAGAGGCCACCACATGAGGCCTACCTCTAATCATTTTTACTCTCTCTACTTGTATTATTATTATTATGTATTTATTATTTTTTTTTTTGCAAAGGACTTGTATTATTTGCTTGCCCATAATTGGTAATTTGATCTGATCCAAACCAAATCGGTTCGGTCATCTCCAAAACCGGTTCGGTTGGCTGGCCCAAAACCGAATCGAGGTACTCGGTGCCGGTGGACACCCGAATTTTTCTTTTCCTCGCTGCAATCGTCTTCTCTTCTCTTCTCTGTGTCCAGTTTTCTCAGAAGAACATTACTGCAAATCCTCCTTCGAGTTTGTGTTTGGTAAATTTCTCCTAATTTTCCTTCATGCTTTCCAGAATCTCAAAACCCTCACAAAGGGTTCTTGATGGTCTTCTCGCCCTCAAGCTCAGACTTCAGTGCAGTCATGATCTGATCAGCTCCTCCAATGCCCGCCCTCCCATCTCCCCTCTTCGAGATCCAATCGTCAGAAATTCATCCTCCTCAGCATCTTCTTTCCATACGAAATTTCGCGCCAAACCCATTTCTTCCGATGTTGGTTTGTCTCGGATCCTCCATTCTCCCAAGCCCGCTGCCGGAAATCCTTCATTAGCTACTAAATTGAACGCCTATTGTTCTGCTTCTGGGTTTAGATTCTTCTCTGTAAAGATTCCCGGGTTTGGGAGTCAATTGAATGGAAATTTCGCAAAGAAGGTCCTTGATAAGCCCGCTACAGCTATTAGTTCTGCCTTCTCGCGGTATCGGGAAGCTATAGGGTTGCAAATTGAGGCGTTCTTCAGGAGAAATTATCTAGTTCTACTCGGGGTTGGAGGAGTTTTTGTTTGTGCATTGCTCTGGAGGATTATGTTTGGTATTGCAAGCACCTTTATTGGGCTCTCAGAAGGCATGGCCAAGTATGGATTTCTCGCTTTATCTTCAGCTATCGTTGCTTTTGCTGTGAGTTTCTCTAAGATCTCTTCGCCCCCTGTGTTAGTTGTTAGTTGTTACATTCATGTGGAAAAATGGTTCTTTCGATCCTTTTGTTTGCCTCCCTGATGGATGGAGTTAAGAATGTCGTTGTTTGCTTATCAACATCAATGGAACCGTGGTAATAAGTTTCTATAGAACCTTGAACAGACGAGATTAAGATCACAAATTATTGAACTAGTGTAGCATTCTTGCTTATTTAAGAACAAACCATGTCGTCACCCTTGTTTGTGTTCATTTCCGGAATGAGAGTTTCAAAGCCTTTGGCGTTCTTACATTTGTTTCTGATTTTCGCATTTTATAAGGTTCTCTTGTATTCAGAACCATTTTCTAACCGTTATGGTAAGAAGAAAATTAAAGAAAATGTACTACTATCCCTAGCCAATCTAGTTTCACTACTAAATGATCTGATGAAGGAACATACTATTTCAATATGAGCTCATTATGTTATCTTTGATTCCTGAGAATTTTAGTTTTAAGCTTTTAGCCGTGGAATTTGAATGTATACCTTTTTTCTAAAAAAAAAACAAAAAAAGAAAACTTGCTTTCATCGAGAAGAAATGAAAGAATGCAAAATGATATAAAAATAGCCCAATAAAAAGGATTTCCAAACCCCAAACTAGCTATACAAAAAAGGGGACGCAATCCAAAAGGACTTGAACTTGAGGATAATTACATAATACTAAAAATTCAAAAGGACAAGACCTAAAGAATTTGAATGTAAACCTCCTGCTTATACACAATAAGCACAGTGAATTTTTGCTTCTATATAAATCCAGAATTCATTTGTCCGCTGTGTAGAGACCTAACTTTATTATTTCTCCTCACCTCAGTTTGTGAAAATTGAATAATACATTTACTTTTTCTTTTATGAAGAACTATAGCCTACTTTATGGATTACCCTTGTTGAGTGTTATCTACCCTTTGTGTCTTTTTAAGGGCCTCTATATGCGCTCTAGATTCACAATCAATCCTGATAGAGTTTATAGAATGGCCATGAGAAAGCTCAATACATCAGCAGGAATTCTGGAGGTCATGGGTGCCCCTCTTTCAGGATCAGACTTGAGAGCTTATGTGATGTCGGGAGGTGGGTTAACTCTGAAGAACTTCACGCCAAATCGTAGGAGCAAGCGGTGCTTTCTTCTTTTTCCCATTAGGGGTTCTGAAAGGAAGGGTCTAGTCAGTGTTGAAGTCAAAAAGAAGAAGGGCCAGGTTTGCTTTTATGCTTGCTACTTCCTTATATGTTTACTAATGAAGCTGTTATACATTTAAATCTTGAAGAGTCATTTGCTGTTCTTTCTTGATATGAATATGGGCTCTTTTTGAATCTATGGATGATCATTATGCATTTATACGTTTTTTTCATGTGGAGAAATATCTATTATTGCTTCTCTGATTACTTTCCCACCAGCTAGCTTTATTAATTAATTAGTTAACTTGTAATGAATGCCTGTTAGTTCATAATGTCAAAGAGGTTATAAGCATGCACATTACAAGAATATACTCGTTCATTGATGGGTCAATTAATTGTTTTCCCAATATCTTTGATGGGCATCTGAAGTAGATCTGTAAGCTAGTTGATGGACATTGGCTGTTGACATAAGTTAGTTTTTTTAGTACAACTAGTGGGGATGAGTGATTCAAACTCATGACCTCTTGGTCGAGACATGTGTCAATTACCTTTGAGCTAAGCTTATGTTGGGAACTGTTGACATAAGTTAGTTAAAGTGTCGAAATATGGTGCAAGGAGTTTGTTGGCCATGAGCTTTAAGTATGTGGTGAGAGAATTATGCAAATATTCACATAACATGGTGAGAAAGTTCCCAAAAGTCAAAACTCTATCAACCTTGGGTTCTTATCAAATTGTATAGAATCATTATTCTTGTCATGGATTAAAAGAACCTTGAAGCTAGAATGAATAAATATGTTGAAGGTGAAAAACAACAGTTTCTAGAGGAGTTGGTGTATATTATTGTCATTTTGGCAGAATAGGGACTAGGGAGGGCACCATCAACTAATTTGTGGGGAAGAGACTCGACCATTCCTGGAGAATGACAAAGCTTCACCTTTAAGACTGATCTTCAAAAGCTTGGTCACTAAAGCAACTCCAGTCGGGACGAAATCAGAGAAAGGATGGGGGGTGCGGCTGTGGACCGTTTTAGCAAATTCTATCATGACTCAAACTGATTCTGGCATGGGTCAAAATATGAGGTATTACAAGTTCACGTATGAGAAGAATGAAATTGAGTTTGATGAGGGGGTCGGAATGCAGTTGGAAGATGGCTGCAGCAAAGCCAAGAACTATGTTTTTTCTTAAGGGATAGCGTGAGTGATTGTACAATTTGAGAGTGGGGTTGGGCCTGGGCTAAAGGAAAACAGCTAGAATTTTGGGCTGGGTCTTTGAGGTCTCTTTTATTAGACAGCCAACCATGAGGTGTTCTGATGGATAAGAAAAGGAAAGCAAGGTAGAAAACTCAGCCTCTGGGAACAATCTTCTTGCAATTGGATTAGACTTATGGTGGATCTGGTTTGAAATTACTGAGATATTTTTTTTTTTTTGTGAAAGAAACAATTTCATTATAGCATGAAATTACAAAAGTCCCATAGAGGGATTGAAGCACTTCCAATTGGCTATAAGGGAAGAGTAACTATAGTGGTGGAAAAGAAGAGAGTAATAGATCATAGAATGTTTTGGATGTGGCACATTGCACCTTAAAATCACGGAATAACTGCCTAAAATTTGTATATCTTAAATCTTGGATAGAAAACCACCATAGTTTGAACCCATTCTTTTAGGCCTTTAATTTTTTGTTGGCCTCGATTGGCCTGTGGATTGGTAAGTTGTGAGTCACTTGATGCACAAGTTCTGTGTGCATAGCTGCAAACACTCAAGGATTGTTGTAGAATCTGCTATCGATTTTGGAGAATTCTATTAATCTTGTACTTTCCTTTCTTCAGTTATATACAATGTACTATTATTAATCTTCAAAGAATCCTATGGAGGAGAGTGAGTAATGGGTCCGCCATTGATGCGCGAGGTTTTAGTCTATGGAGGAATTTTCCTTTTCCCTCTGAATTTGTTTGTTTCGTGCTGGAAAAAAACAGCGTGCAGTTTCTTGAAGATGAAGGGGGACCAATTATAGGCACTTGGGAGTTTAAATTTAACTGCCAAAAAAATCTTTCATTTTGGGTTTTTGGGGGTTTGGAATTTGTCAACCAATCATATTAATCTTCAAAGAATCCTGTCAAAACTAAATAAATATACCAAAAGCTATTTCTACTTTGACATAAATCTATGATATGGTTATTTCTTTTGAAGAGGCTTTAAGTAAATTTTAGCTATTGTGGTCTATATCCTCTGGAATTGAACTAGAAAATTTGCATTATTTTGGAATTATTTGATTCTCCCACATCCACCAACCCACACACACACACACACTCAAAATCAAGTATATTTATAAGACATGAAGCTGCTTAAGAAATTCTATCTGATGTTGTTATACATAACAAGAACGATATTACTCATCTTAATGTTATGGTATTATTCTTTTTTACAGTATGATATGAAGCTACTGGCAGTTGACATTCCCATGGCATCAGGACCTGACCAGCGGTTATACCTTATTGGGGACGAAGAAGAGTACAAAGTTGGTGGCGGACTAATATCTGAACTAAGGGATCCCGTTGTGAAAGCTATGGCAGCAACCAAGGAATTTGATGATCTTGACCAAATTGAGGAAAAGGAGGATGCAGAGAGAGAACTCCAAGAGGCAGAGAGAAAACACCAGGAAGAAATCGAAAAACTTGAGAAAGGAAGTTGAAATTCTTTCGTTCTTCAGATTTTGCGATGTCGTTTTCTACCCGTTGCGTCTTCATAGCCATTCTTTGAAGCGGTTTTGAGTTTCTAACCTCATCCATAAAAAAAATCAACTTGATTTCCTTTGAATTTTAGAGTTCTCGGAAGGCAAGTAAGTTGAATAAAGAGCTTACAATGTTATCATGGCATGTTTATGGACTCAACTTTTGCCTGTGATTTTCACGTTATCCCTCTTGTTTAATCTTCCCCTTCCTTTCTGTTTCTTGTTCATCAGTTTGCTTATTAATCTTTGATTCTCCAGAGCCTTCTATTATGCTAAGATTTTGAAACTAAAGAACCCAACCAAATTATTACCTAAACTTCAATGACATTATTTTAAATATAAAGATTAAATGGTAAAAGTAATCATCCATTCCATTTACTTCAACTAGTTAGACTTTGAAATTTAAAAATAATCATTAGGAAAGACATTTTAAACAGTAGATCATGAATTACTTCAAAATTTCATGAAAATTAGACTAAATAGCACAAATTTAATGTATATTTTTTTAAAAAATGTAACAACTTTTTCATTTTTATTTTTCAAATATGGCATAAACTTGACTTTTTTAGTATGTTTTATATTTAGCTTGATTTGGGGTTGGACTATATTATTTTTTTAGAATTTCAAACTTTATGCCATTTTTAAAAATACACATTCGGAAAATACCTCAAATAAAAATCACCCTTCACCCTTCAATATTCCTATTTTGTTTTCTTTTTAATACAACAATTTGGAGATGTAAGGGATTGATTCTCCGACTTTGAGGGAAGAAGTATATACCAATTATTAGCTCATGTTGGCTCTTTTCATATTTTGTTTTCTTGTTTACCGTTCATTTTTTACATGATAAATAATCACCAAAAGAAGTTTCTACATCATTTTCATCTAATATCCCCTAAAAAATGTTCATGACCCCGTACCAAATATAGTGCATTATCTAGTTTTGTCCTCTCTAATATCAATATAGAATTTTATTATTTTGGAAATCATAATTTATTAATCGTAACTTTGACTCGTTTCAATATTTCTAATTAATAAATGTAAATTTATTATATAAAATATTTAAACCTAATATATTCACTAACGTTCATTTGAATTTAATTAATACAACAATTACCTTTAGCATTAAAGTTTGAACTAAAAAGAAAATAATAATTAGTTAAAGTATTATATGTGCCATGTGGAACTCAAAAAAAGAAAAGAAAAAAAAAACCGTAAATCTCTATTTCAAAATTCAGATGTGTAACAGATTGAAATGGAAGTTATGTGCGACGATGGATAGCAGCTGTGTGATGGTGCGATGTTGACAAATGGAAGCTCTCCATTGTGATCCCGTGCCGCAAAAAATGGCTTGTCCTTCATCGATCGTATTCCCTCTGCTCAGAAATTCCTCTTCCTCCTTCAACCAACGCATATCCGCCTTAATTAGACTGCCTTTTATCGATTTTTTCGTCCTCTTCCTTCCCTTGCCGCTGCGTCCCCTGAAATTTCAGGCTCGGCTTCAATGACGAGTTGTACAAGATGCTGAGTCAACGCTATCCCGAGGTAACAATTTCTCCGTTCATACTCCACCTCCTTCACATGGACAGCCTACGAATTTGCATTGATTCGATCAGACCTACATTTCGCGAATGCGTAAATTCTTTTGCGCTCATTGTTTCCGATTTATAGATTATGCGCTATTTTTTGTTTTTGTGTTTTTGTTCTGTGATTCCGTATCCTTTGTTGAATGTCTGCATCTTACATTTGCTTCTGAGATTGTTTTGATGAGGCCGAGGCCAAGTTTGAAATGGCCGAGGCCGCGCTGATGAAATATCTGCATCTCAATTCTTACATCTGTTTTGATGCAATATGGCCGCAGTTTTCTCTGTAAATTTCGAAGAGAGGCCGTTTGAATGATATTTGAGGTCTGATTTGGAAACAATTTTTGTTTTATTTTATTTTAGGATTGTGATTGAATGACTCATAGAAATTGATTTATTGACATTGAAATAACTGTTCATAGCATCGTGATTTTTTTAATTTTAAATAGATCATTTGTTAAAACACTGTACGGAAGATTTGAAACTAGTTACCATTACCAAACATGTTTTTACTGTTTTTTTTCTGAAAAACATATTTTAGAAATAGTTTCCAAACAATTCTTTGGTTTCAGTTTCTCATCACTATTTCACTAATAGATCAAAGAAAAGGTAATTTGTAATATCTTTTCAGAGAAAAATATTGGAAAGGTATCCAATGACTATTTGTTTGTTGTTTTTTTACCTTTGTTTCTCTGGAAGATTAAAAATAAAAAATCACTTGAAATAGAAGATAGGGGAATCTTTTTTGTCAAACATAGATGATTTTCAAGAAAGAAACGAGAACAAGAATAGGAGACGAGTATATTATCAAATGAGGGCATTACCTGCTAGGAGGACAACTTCCTCCTCCCACCTCCCCTTATAATGGCTTAAGGCCATGATCCATAAAAACAGTGGTTCGATTTGATTTACTTATCATTCCCCAGTTTAAAACCTGTGAGTTAAAATAATGGACAGAGGACTTTGCTACTTATAATGTTGCCATGTTTATTAATGTTGGGATTTTATGGTCTCATATTTGATGCATACATTATTTTGAATTTTCTTTGACTCGTGCTTGGAAAAGACGTACTTTGTTTGAGTTTGAAGGTATGTTACCTTGCTTCCCAATAGGAAATTTGCCACAAAGTTAGACCACTTATGAATAGAAATCTACCTACACGCTTCTCATCTTATCTTCCTCGAGAATTTTTATCAGATTGGGTTTGAATAAAAATGAAAATTGCACAAAGCAAAGGAGAGAGAGAAAAAATCAAAGTAGTCTCGTAAAAACTTGAACAAGGAGCACAACTTTTTCTTCAATTTTCCAGTACTACTGATTGCAAGCTCTATTAGAAAATGAACTAATATCTAATCCTACATGTGCTGCTGACTGACAGATATCATGTAACTTAACAGGTATCCTGTTTGGAAACAACCTTAATTTTTCAGACAGAGATTCGATTTTGCATTTTCAATGGGAAGTTGCTGGACTAAGGTAGGCCTTGCTGGAAATTATTCTCTCTCTATCATTTTTTCTTCCGGGTTTTGTATTGGATTTCTGGTATAGTGCTCTCTGCTTTGTTTTGTTTGCTAGCCCCGCAGTTTCTGCCATGTCCTTAATACATTTTGTTTTTATTCAATCAAGTTCATGGTCATCTTGGCCCACATAACCAAGTGGAGTTTGAAAAAAGAAGGAAAGAAAAAAAGCTTCGCTTCTGTGGATTCTTACTTGTTCAGAATCATGCAAGTCCACTAAGTTTGCGGAGGATCAATTTTTCTTTCTTGAAATATCATATCTGGTCTCTCTCTTTCACATAGTTTTTAAAATAAACCTACTTTAAAGGGATTTATCCTGAAATTCTTATTCCAAGTTCCAGTTTTCCTTGTCTGCTAATGGTCAGTGTTGGTTTACATGATGTCAACATCATGAAAGATACTTAAATGATAGTGTTGGAGTGTTGGTATCTTAGTGATGGCCCTCATCTTTGGCACGTTCAGAAAAATTATTGAATGTGGTTGGCCTTCTAGCTATTAATTAAATGTATGACTAAAGTACAATTTAAATTTCTTTTCATACACCTTAACAGTATAAAACTACCAGTCATATTGTCCCAGCGTCTTCAAATAATTTATCTATCTTCTAAGTAAGTTACATCCACACTTGACATTTTGCAGTTTTTCAATAGTGATCAAGAAGACCAGGGCGAGGTCCAGAATGTTGATAGCAAAAACGTACATCTCATTACATCAATGGAGACGTGGGAGGCGAAGCTCTTGGAAGCAACCAAAGATGGCAAGATTGTAAGTTTCTCCTACAGTGTTGTTTCCTTAATGGCAGGATAGGGACTAAATTTCTAGCTTGTTTATTCATTGTGTTCGACATTTAACAAATTCAAGACTTTTTTCATTTATCTAAGTGAATAGTGAAGAAAAATCTACAGTGAGAGAATTGTTTTACCTCAAAACTATGCAACAGGTTATTGCAAATTTCTGTGCACCATGGTGTAGACCCAGTAAATCCATGACAGCAGGGTATTGTGAGCTTGCTGATAAGTATACCTCCATGGTATTTTTGGCCATTGACGTCGACGAGCTGGCTGTAAGTAAAAGCACTTTCCCATATTTATAGAACTTCATTATCTATGACTCTACCTTTCAATTTTAACAGTTAGGCATGTATATCTAGATTTTATTGTTACCAAAAATTCTATACAATTTCAGATGAGAAATGAGAAATAAAAGAACAATTATCAAATACTTGTGTTTTTAGAACGTTGAAAACAAAGAATAGGGTGTAGTTTATTGTTTTATAATGTGGTTTGAATGGAAATTTCTTACACTGAGGTGTGGGGTGTGCAGGAGCTTAGTACGTCGTGGGAGATCAAAGCGACTCCAACGTTCGTGTTCCTTAAAGATGGACGCCAATTAGATAAATTAGTAGGGGCTAACAAGTCAGATCTGCAACAGAAGCTAGCTGCTATGGAAGATGTAACCAAATCTCAGAGCTGATACTTTTTTCTAATGTCATACATTGAATCCTAAAAAGCAGCACAAAGAATTCCAAAACAAAGAAAACTGAGCCCATAACAGACACACACAGGAAATCTTTTCGGCTTTTGTATCATCAAATTTCATTGTGAATTTTCATTCCATACACACCACCATTAAAATCCATTCGTTCTTATGGTTTTTTGCTTGGGAGGGAAGAACTCGATGTACTGCTATCAAGTGCAATGCAATTTCGGTGTTGAATTACGAAATCTATTCTTGCAGTTTTAATTGTTGAGTTGAGATCACATGAATTTTATACTGTTCTTATATTAGGCATAAAAATGTCCCTCCCCTGTATAGTTACATCCTGTTGACGCAGCAGCCTTTAGAAGCAAGCCAAAGAGCAGAGACGGGTTGGAGAAGAAGGGGCTGTGATCGGTATCCATGTCGTATACGATCTCGGGTGGCCATCGCTTTATCATAGCATCTTGTTGCTCCCTTTTGATTACACGATCATACATTGTTCTTATAAATACTCGTTTCACCTTATCGGCAAATTCTTCCTCCTCTCTAAACTGAGCAGTCTTTAATGCCAGGATTGGCCCTGGCCTTAGAAGCATGGCGCCCAGCGTAGAATCCTGAAAAACGCCATACATCTCAAACACGGTTCATGTTGCCCCTACTCCTAGTTTGTCTTAAACTAAAAAAGGTCATATTAAGAAGTAGAGATTTAAAAAAAAATTCAATCTAATTTTGATAATCTTGATCAATAAATATTTTGGTTTTGGGTACCTCGTGGGGGCTCATGTGATAGCAGATCTTGCGCTGGAATTCCCTTTTGATGATGGCTGTGGTTGGAGGTTGTTGGGACCCTAGTCCAAATTCTAGGTCATAAACATCCCCAAACTCGGATAAATCTGGCACTCCCTGCACACATTTGACCAACATACATAAATAAACAAATTATCATCAGTACTATTGAAATGATGAAAGATTAGAAAAGAAAAAAAGGTTAAAGACAACATTTATAAGACAGATTCTACTTCCTGAGGAATTCCTGCCGTCCAAGACACGGGACCAGGTCTAAAAGTCGTTTATTTACTAAATCTCTCTATTCTTGAGTACAAACAAAGTTCTTCCTTAACTAGGAAAATCAAAGTTCCATCATATATAGACAAGAATAATTATCTCAAAATCACACAAGCTTCTGCTCAAAATATACTCTCCTCCAATCTTTCTTTCTTTGACAATTGGGGGTCGTAGCTTTCTCCTCCAATCCTTTTTTACTAAACCATTTCAAAAGACCATAGGTTAAACGCACTCTCTGGCCAACTTAAGCAGGGAATATAATGAAGCTGGAGAACGACTTTTTTCTATAAAGAAAATAAAAAGAATTAATAAATAAACCTTGAAAATTCTAGAGTGAATCACTTATTTAGAGCAGTAGAAAATTCTGTTCCCCAATCCATTGATAATGAATGGGTTTGCATTGTTAGTTCCTTCAATCAATGAAGTAATGAACTTTACAAAGAAAAAGATGTGTGGACTGCACACGTGAGAACTGTGTACTCGCGGAAGCTGTCGGCTCCGATTGAGTACACTATTTGCGGCCTTGAAAACTCCAACTGGCCTAACCCAATTTTGACTTTATTCCGTACATACCAGGCAAAATATTCCACCTAGGCACTGTAGTAACATACACACCATCTATATTATTCTCACTATTAGATTTGATTTTATTTTAAACCAATACTTGACTCACAAATCACCTGTGTCATTTTTTAAAATTTGACAATTATTTATTTTTTATAAAAATAAAAAATAAAAAATATTTTTTCTCTCCAAAAGAGAAAAATTTCTATTCTGAATAAGTATTTTTGAAAGTCAAATTCATATGGAATATAAATATCTTAAACCTATCTTATACACTTTTACTAATTTTATAAACTACATAAATCAAAGCTATTAAAATCGTGTTCTAGTGACTTGAGCATAATTCAACCAATTAAAAGTAACATTCTAAGAAGTTAGAAGTTCAAACTCACCGTACCTTTGATTTACTAAAAAAAATCACCCCTAAACTATCCACATAAATTACAAATCTATAGATCAAACAACTACAAGAACCTACAATTTTGTAATTATTCTGTTATAAGTTTATAACATAAAACTTTTTCTCTTAGATATACAGATTCAGATATCTTAAAATTAGGGGCCAAATAAAAATATGGTTAAAACTTAAAAGATATTAAAAGTTATATAAAAAAATATTTCATGGCACTGTGGCACAGAAAATTTACAGCACAATTTTTTTTTTCACTACACAGAAAGGGACACGTCCTTTTCTGGTGCTGCGGCACCACTGTACCAATCTATTTCATCAGAAAAATCACATCCGTGATGTATACAAACTCTAAATTTTTATGACAATTTATCAAATTAAGATCATATATGAATTATAATAATCTGAAAATTCTTTTTATAAAAAAATCTCTGCTTGTAATTTTCTATAACCAATTCATGACCTAAGTAAAACTCAGCCAGTCAAATCAATGACAATATTTTTTTCATAGGATTAAATCTCTAATTTTTGTTTGAATTTTAATATTCTAGAAAGGAAAAAAAAAGTTAGACCTTCTAAATAAGGTAGTTTCAGTAAATTGTAAAAATGAAGTAACCGACAAAAATAAAGTATATCTGAATTAAATTTTGCACAAAAAGAATACAGAAACTTATGTGAATTATTTAACATAATGGAATCTTCTCAGACTATTATGAGTCAGAGAGGATGGGCATTAGTACTACAGTAATAGGGGATAAGAAATGGTTAATTAGCAGCCAGCTGGCCGGTGGCTGTCTTTAATCCATTCTCTTAATTAAAGACAAAATAATGAGACTAATTAATTGACTAAATGTTATTTGCCTCGTGCGATTGCGATGAGAGCAAGCGCCTCCGATTTCCTAACCGCCAACTATTCACACATTGGCCATCATCTTCTCAGTTCTCACTTCCCCTGGCCCTGAATCTTCTAAACCGCCACCGGCCGGCGACGAGTTTAACAATAACATCGCCGTCCGGCAGGAAAATTCATACTAAAACGCTGCACTACTACGCTACGATTACTTCAATTAGCATTTCTAAACATACACACATGAAATTTCATGAATAGAAGCAGAGAGAAGAAGAGGATTGTTTACGTCTTTGATATCTTGATCGGTCTGGTAGCCTAATTTTAGCATCGTCGCCGCTACGTACACCGCCAAACGGATTTTCTTCGCGAACTTGAGAGTTGCTTGAGTCACACTTAATCCTCCGGCGCTATGTCCAACCAGTATGATCTGTAAAAGTTCCAACAAAAATTTCTCAAAATTAACTTTCAGCCCGATCGTATAATCGATAGAAGAAACAGAGACTTCCGACGAATAAATTAAATACATCGACAAATTAAATACCTGTTCGTTCTCCGGCAGAGTGGAGATGAAGTCGAGCAGAGGCTTATTGTAATCGTCGAATTTGATGACGGAATTAGGATCGGAGCGATCGATTCCGGCGCCTTTGAGATCAATACAGGTAACCTTGAAGCCGGAATTCTCCATCAAACACCTGATTCTGTACCAGCACCATCCTCCTCCACTTATGCCGTGAACGAGCACGAAGTGCGGCGTCTGCGGCAGCGGCTTCTGCACTGCTACAGAGACGGCACTTGGCGCCAGGTTATCTTCCTCTCCCATGGCGGTCTTCAATATTTACGAATTGGAATGATTGCAAATATATATATATAGGCGAACCTGTAGTTGAACTAGTCCTTGAAATCATTATAATGTTTTTCTTTTTTATTTCGGACCTTACAAGATTTAATGATTTATATTTTATTGTTACTTTCAGTTCCACGATCGTTGAAAAACTTGGAAGTGGAACGATTGAAGACAGTGATGGAGCTTGATCATCACGTCCACCTGGAGACTTGGACGGACGAGATTTAATCCCGGTGAAGGTCTGCAACTGCACGGCCTCGCTCGTATTGAGACTTCTGTGTGTGCAACTGCAGGGGAAAGCATTCTAGAGTTTGTTGAAATGAATTATATAATCCAATATAGGAATAGGTAGACGTGGCAATGATGATATAATTTTGTTTGAAAATAAGTACCAATTTGACTGCTAAGCAATAAATTTTTGGATTGAAAGTGAGTTGGTGGTATAAAATCTGATTTTTTTTTTTCCCTTTGGCCTCTAGAACCAATGAATCACTTGTCATAGTTGGAAATTTTAAAATTAAAAAATTTAAAGAAGAGCAGAGTTGCATTTAATATTCTAGCTATTTAATTTAAATACGTAGTTGGTATCGGATTTGAAATCTAAAAATATATGAATATTATTTTCGTTGGTAGAACTTTAGTCATTGGACAACATCCATCGAGACTACTTAAATCGTCACCTTTTTTTCGTTCTTTGAATTTTCTAAGTTACTGAATTTGAATGTAATACAAATCCTACTTTAGAAAAACGTAATAATAATAAAATACCACCAAAGTTCACCCAATTCACTTGATTTAAATTTGAAAGTAAGAAATTGAATTTGAGTAAAACGAGGGTGGAAGATAGGTGAGAATGTACATGAGATTATTATTATTTTATTTAGTACAACAATTTGGAGATATAAAAGATCGAATCTCTAACTTCAAGGGATGGAGTATATGTCAATTACCGATGAACTATGCTCATGTTGTTGATTAGTTGGGTAAATATTTCGACAAAAAGATTGGAGTTTGAAACTTTACTCCACCTATATTTTAACTAACACACATATATATATGTATGTGTATGTTTATTATATATATACACACACGTGGCACTAAATTTTTATACTTATTTTATTGTAGTATTTAATGTATTATGTTTTAAGCGCAGCTGATTTCACAAATTTTTTTTTTTATTTTTGTAGTAATTAATGTAAAACAGAATTCATTTAACCGTGTGTGGGTGGCCATTATATTGCCATATGGTCACAGAACTAATTTAAATTCTGTTTTTATGTGAGGTGGGTGGCATAAAATTAATACAGCAGTTGTATTGTATTCAATAAAACTGCTGTATTTCATTAAACATAAATCTTGTTTGGCATTATATACACATATAATATATGATTCTTCCACGTATGTTATAAAATTTGATAATAAATAATTAACGATTTTAGGTAAACATAATATGGAAATTTAGTAATAAGGATCCAAACGAGTATGTGAAAACCTTTCAGACCAAAAGAGAACATTTAAGAACTATAGTAGAATTTAAACTATTTTTTCTTAAATACAATAGGGATTAATAGTATAACATAACATAAAATACTATTTTTTAAAAAAAATTAGAAGTATTTACATAAACAATATAAATTATATTTGAATATAGTAGAAAGTTTAAAATTTACATTAAAAAAAACATAATTCAAATCAAATTCAATCTAAATATAAAACACCACGAGAAAAATCCAACTTATATTATATAATATTCGACAAATTTTTTTTTTTAAATCTGCCATTAAAATACACGTTAATTTATAATATGAAATGAATATCTTAGAATGGAATATACCCAAAATAGTATTGGAATTCTACATGTTATTTTCAATGTATTAAAATTAGGTGATGTGGACACCTAGACATGGAAGACACGTCAGCAAAATAGTGGAAAGAAGCCAAGTATATATTTTTGGGAAAAAAAAACAAACAGAATATATTAAATGCAAAAAAAAAATCTGATTTTAAACAAGATATCCCCTGTTTTGGGGCAATTTCCTTTTATTTTGTTTTTTTATGCCCACTTTGCAGGCCCCGACAATATCCTCATTGATTTCATTTTCGTTGTCTTATTTATTGTGGTATTAAAGATAAGAATTTTGGATTAAAAAACAAAATCAAGAAGCCTTTTTCCAATTTAATTAATTATTCCCTTTGAATTTTGATTACCCACCTAACCTGTTTAAATTAATTAATTTATAGTTTAATATGTTTAAATTGCGACCGCTATAAGATTTTTTTTTTTTTTTAGTTAGCTGGAAGGCTTATTTGATTATGGTTTTCTTTTTCTATTTTTGTTTTTTTTATAATATTTAAAAAAATTTCTTATATAGTTATAAAGTAAAAAGTTTCTCTGTCTTGCAATTTATTTCTAGCTCGGTTTATTAAAGTTATGCTCAATTTTATTTTTGGTTTAATGTTTTTAAAAGTTAAAGTTTTGAAAATAATTTGTATTTTTAATAGATACTTATTTATAAAATTTTAGTCTGTTTATATATATAATTTTTTTAATTCTCAAATTTTACTTGGATTTCAAAAGTGTTTTTGAAATTAGATCTACACCTGAACAAAAATGTTGGCATGCTTGTTATAAATGAAACAAAAAATTAAAAATATTATCAAAATCACCGACATATTTTGTTTTCATTCCTTTCTTTATTAAAAATTAAGGTTGTTCATTGCATACTGCTTTATTTTATAATCTATTTTAAAAACTATAGTTATAATTAAATAAAAAAACAGTTCTCAAAACCCCATATTTTTATCTTTTTAAAGTTATAAAATAATAACTATAAAGAAAGATAGTGAGACAAAGTAAAATAGGGAATGAAAACTATATATATTCCTCACTCTTAATAAAATAAAAAAAATAAATATAAATAACTTATTCTAAAGACATGTTAATAATTCTCAATCTCAGTATGGATCCCACTGATCGAGAATCATTTCTTTACAAGGTTAGTAAATAATATGATAGAGAATTAGAAAGAATAACTATCATATCTTCATATTTCTTATTCCCTTCCTAAATACACTTTGTCATAAGGTGTATAATTTAATAATATTTTTAGGAATATGATACTTTTGTAATGTTTTTAGTACTTTTAAATAGACATGGATATTTAATAATATTATAATTCCCATAATATTTTAATAGACTATTTCACTGAATAATAAAAACAATCTAAATCATCTATCAAGCACATACATAAAAATGAAGAATACAAAAAAAAAATTGGCAAAGTAATATCTACGATATTTCTATTAGAAATAAAAATCTTTTGACTAATGGACTTACCACAGGTAAAATATGTTGATTATGTATAATATGATGACTGCTTTTTTATTTTTAAAATTTAGTTAAGATTTAATAATATTTTAGAAAAGTAAACAAAACAGATCAAACAATTTTATTTTAAAAAGACGTCCACCAATTATTTTATTTATATTTTTTGTATTCTTAGGATACAATTGTCTTACGTAGAGTCAATATTTGCAGCGAGATTTTTGCGGAAATTTTGTTATAAAATAAATCAATTTTTAATCTCAAACAAAAAATGTAATGCAATGGAGAAAAAGTCAAACGACGCCGACTTAAATATTTAAAAATAATAAAATAAAATAATTAAAATGGGTCCATCGCAAGTTTTGCAGTCCAAAAGCGAACAATTTTATGGACGGCGTCGTTTAGCAAAAGTTATGCAATGCTAGTTAAAGATCAAATGTCTTAATTAATAAATCATCAATAGATAAATTATAGTTTTAAAAACTTAGTTTTACGATTAAGATACTTTATTTAATCATTATCCATATATTTGTTGTACTAGAAATTTTTTTTTAATTTCACTGGAACATTTTTACTCTAATAAAAATTTATTGCTGTCTTTATCACTATTCTTAAATATGACAAAAATCTAGTGCGACAAATTATTTGTAGAAATGATGAATATAGATGCTTAACACGACAATTTAATTTAAAATTTCGAGACTTTGTAAATTATATTGGTTTCAAAATATGAATTTAGGTAAAGTTTTAAACCATTATTTTGATTGAAGTATAAAAGTAACTAGGGAACCTATATATGAATTTAGGTAAAGTTTTAAACCATTATTGTTTTAGGAGTGTGATGAATAATATTTTTTTTGATCTCTGACAGTTCCTTTTAAGAGTGTAAATACCAAAATAGCTTGTTATATTGAATTTTTGTTATTTTCCCATCATGGTAGAGGCATTTAGTGAGTTTTCATTAGGAGCTGTGATGAATCTTAAACATATAACTAAATTGAAGCTAAAATTAAAGTATAGAGATTAAAAACCAGTGAAAGTAACATAATTATCCAACTTAATAAGTTTGTAACTCATTAATTAAGATATATATATATATTATCGATCAAGATGTTGGAAGTTCAATTCACACTTCCACATGTTTGTTGTTAAACTGAAAAAAAAAAATCAATTTAATACACTAAGTCAAATAAGTTAGTATTATGATAATATATAGTAACCTTTTTAATTGTTTGTGTCTCATTGTGTCAATTGAACTAAAATTTATTTATCAATTTGTAGGAATATTAGGTTAGTTAAAGGTATTAATGACATAAATTGAACATAAAATATTGAGTAATACATACCTAATAGAATAGGTTACTAAAAAAAACTAATAGAATAGGAGGAGTTAGTGTTCGTTGTCGCGTTGACTTGAACATTTACAAATTAAATAAACATTAAATTTATAAATGCGTTTGTCAAATAAGTTATAAGCTTAGTCAAAAGAAGTGCATTGATGTAAGGAAACATAAACTACTAGATGTAAACTTTAAGATAGAGTTTTAGTAATTATAAATTTATAATTAAAAAAACTAATTATAAATAAAGTATTTGAAAAAATCAATTATCAATATTGATTTAACCTCTTATTTTTTTCCTTTTTACATTTTGCGATAATCGTGAATTAATTG